TTTAATTTAATTATTTCACTCGTCTATCGATACCTACGACAACACGTTTCGGTGAAATCATGTGAATAAACGGCTTATACTGTACGGGAACGTCCGTTTGCGGGCACCGGTAGAATCGGTAGCGCTTCACCATGTGAGCCAACGCTAGCTTAACAATCAATAACGCAAACCTCATACCAATGCAATTACGAGGGCCGGCGCCAAAGGGCAGGTATGCGTAGGGTTTAATCTTATGCTTATTTTCTGGCATAAAACGCTCAGGATCAAACTGGTACGGCTGCTCATAGTACTGGTCCGAGTAATGTAAGGCGTAGTTGGGCACCTCTATCTGCTGCCCGGCCTTTATGGTGATCCCGGTATCGCCTAACCGGTAGTCACTGGCCGCCACTCTGGCCATGGGTTGGGTGTTTGAGTGGCGGCGCTGAACCTCCGATAAAAATGCTGCCAAATATGGCAGTCGCGCCAACGCGTCGTACGATAGGTCGTTGTCCGGGGCGTCGACGCCCGCGCCCTCTATCTCGTCAAGCAGTCGCTGTTGAGCCGTCGGATTGCAAGCCATCTCGTAGGCCGAGAAGGCCAGGGCTGACGCCGTTTCGAGGTATCCGCCGATGAAGAAGATATATCCCTGAGCTATGATCTCGTCTTCCGTCAACCGTTTGTTAGCGACGTTTATGTCGTAGGCCTTACGATCAGCGGCCACCTCTTCATCGCCTAAAGATTTGCAAAATTTAATATATTTTAAAAATTTTTTGCTAAAACTAAAATAAATTATATTTATATTAACAGGTTAATTAATCTTAACACTTATAATTTTTACCGACAATTTTCAGTAACTTAAATTCAGTATTAGTATGATAAGTATGATAATATAATATGTATTAATTCACTATTAATAGTAAAAATTCTTTGTGTATATTAATTATAATAACAACATAGATTTATAATTTGATGTATTTATACAAAATTTTTATTTGAACTAGGTTCTAATGTATTTTTGCAAGTGCTAAACAATATTGCACAGACATATTACAGGAGTGTTTAAACGAGAATTTACCGGATTTTATATAAATGGATTTCATATTATACAGGATTAAAACTTACCAAGTAGATCTACAGATTTTTAAAATTAAAGATTTTTAAATACCTCTATTTTGTTGATGATTATTATTATCCCTTTCATTTGCCTGTCCCTCCCGGTCCCCAATATCTGCGTCCATAAGCAGTTGAATTAAGTCCACATTTTTCTTATTAGGTTTCTGTCGTCTATCGGCAATAATCTGTCGGACGGTGTCTAAGAAAAACTGATCCGAAACCTTATTCGACACATTTAGCCATTTTTGCATAAATTTAGGCAATAGTAGCCTGCTCATTTCCTTTTTAAGCGTTAAGTTGAACTTTTCGTTAGCAAACACCACAAACGGGTTATCGTTGGACAGGTAGGCGTCGATTTTGGCGCCAAACACGTTACGGGCGATGATATCCAACACGAACCGCCCGCACACGTCCCAGGCGTCCAGGGGCTGACCCGTGACGGCTATGGTGTCAATATGGGCGCAGAGGTCCGTCAAACACGCGCTGATTTTCGGTGACATTTGACGCATTTTGCCGGACGTGAAAACGGGCGACACTATAGAGCGCACCCGTTTCCAGTCCTCACCGGACACGTGGTTTAGGGAACGGGAGGTGACGTGATTGCTGGATATCCATACCTTCGATCGGTCGGGAAACTGGGAAAAGTCTTTCACCCAAATGTCCTTGATCAAGTCCGGGTCCACGATATTGAAAGAGAGAGAGAGAGAGAGAGAGAGAGAGAGAGCAAAACTACATTTAAAATGCTGATTTTCAAAATATCTATAATTTTGAACAATAAAAATATTTTAAACTATTACTAAGTTATAAAATATTTATTCCAGTTTTATTTGTACAAAAAATATTTTGCAATAAACCTACAGTATGTACTTATACTGTATAATACATAAATACAAAATTTAAAATTTAAAAATAAAATCATTTATAAAAACAATAATAAACTTACATTTATTGAGTAACCTCTCAAACTCCTGGGCGCTACACACCGATGGTATGCATATACCGTTCCGCCATAGGGTGCCATTAGCCATATTGAGAGTCTCTATGAAACCACGTAGGGTGGCCAGTTGTGTCAAGCCATAATGATCTAGCAACTTTGTGAACCCCGGCAAAGTTTGATACTTTGAATCCGTATAATATGTTGGGTCAGTATTGTTTGCGGGATTCATTGGTGGGAACGGCATGATAACTTTTAGCATACAATATTGGCCCTTGATCGGACTGAGCCAGGGTGTTTTTGGGGATTCAATGTTTAGACATTCGGTGTAATCACCAAAATTTGCTTCAACCCCCTCTAGAAAGCCTGCATCCAGTGGTCGACCCGTTGCGTCTAAAACTGTAATTTTAAATATCAAACAATAGCTTGGTCAAAATTTTAAAAGTTATTTATGACGAAATATTTATCATTTATCATAGGATATAATTAATTGTTAAAAACTACCATGTGCCCATGTGATCCAAATAATTTATAATTTAAACTATTAGTTACTTTATAATTTTATATGTTCACGAATTACAGTTTTTAAAATATTTTAATTTTTCACTATAAACTGTAATACTAATTGATAATTTTAGGTACAAAGTTAACTACCGGTAAATACTGTTATAATTTAGTTGTAAGTTTATTAAATAATAATTATTATGTTACATAATGTTACTTATAGTTTATTATACCAGTACCTTAAAACTGATATGATATTTTAAATTTTTCTTAATTCTTATACTATTATAGTAGTATTATAGTAGTATTAAATGTGAATGTCTACTAATAAACGACCAATTAGCTAGTTGACATTATTGATTTTGTGTTTTGTAATAAACAATAATTGTTATTATTGAAAAGTATACTATGGTAACTATTATAAACCTTTTTGTTTACAATAACTCACATTTTAGAGCCCATATCTCGCGGGCACTCAAAGCCAAGACAATCCGGAATAATGCGATCAGACATTTCGATTTGAATCCCAGTCCCAGGGCTACGGTAATGGCGCTAAAAAATTCAATGGCCCTATATTTGATCCGGATATCATCGGACGGTATCAATAGATATTCAGCGCTATGGCGTAGATTCTCGTATATGTCGATCGTGTCATTAATGTGATTAACATGCTTGTTTATTGGTATATTTTTGCCCTTGTCGTATAGCACATTCCATTTGTCCAAGAACGTTTGGTCCACATTATGTGGATTGTGAATTTTATGACCATGGTTAGATGGGTGCAGGGTGAATAGTTTTAGTAGTTTCTCGAAACTTGATATTGTTGAATTGAATAGGTCAGTGGTGTTTGTATTTTTATTATGGTCAGTTGTAGGAACATGCACATTTTTATTAGTGTTATTTGCGCATATAAGTGGTATTATTAGTATAAAAATGTTGAGACACTTGATAAATAATTTGAGCATGGTAGCATAAAGTATATTTATTATAGATTAAATAAAACAATGCACAATTAATAATTAAAATAATTCACAAGTAAATATAATTTAAAATAAAATAATTATTTTAATTTTTCTAAAATGAATAATAAACTGATTTTTATTATGATATAATATTAAATATTTTAATAATTAAGGTAAATTAATTAGAATAATAGTTTTAAAATTTATATTGAAAACACTAGCTGTAAATTGAAATTAAATTATTTTTAAAAAATCATACAATTATCATGTAACCAAAATTGTATGCCCAGGTACTAACTGTAGTAAAAGCGTGCAAACCATATGTTATGTTTTAGTTTTTATTAAAAATAATTATTTCTATAATTAATAGTAAATAATAATAATTAAAATTTTATTATGCAACCGCGCGTAATTTAATTTTATTAAATATTTAATTCATTATTAATTATAAGTATTTTAGAGTTTTATTTAAAATTATCTTTATTTAAGTATTTAAAATTATCTTTATTTAAGTATTTCAAATAAAATTTAATATAATCCACTAAAACGCTATATATAAAATAAGTTAATAAAACATTTAGATATAAAAATAATCATAAATTCATAGACATACCCGTATATTACAATCAATATAAATCTATGAATAAATTACAAAAGCAAACTGTATTAAAAATTAGTTTCAATACAAACATTATTTATAAATATAAAACATGTTTTTATTTGCAAATAAATTTAATAGTATTTTTATTGTTTTTATTTTGAAAATTATTTCAAATGGTATTTATGGTCAAATATTTGATGATGATCCGGATATTTTCCGGCAAACTGTAAGCTAATAATATAATGTTTAATTTATAAGGTCACAATTAAGATTTTAAAATATAATTGTACAGTTTAAAATATATTTTAACATAGCTAGCTAAAATTTCAAAATAATCTAAATTGTTAATTAATATATACATGGTCATTATTCAAGCCACAACTGATCGAGTCACGTGGTTTCCAATCGGAAACACATACCGTAACTACGAGTGATGGATATATACTACAGGTGTTCCGTATGGTGAACCCACAACTGCCTAACAGTGGCCGACAGTTAAGACACCGGCCAGTCATCCTATGGCACGGAGTGGCCGTCACATCCGACTCGTGGCTATTCTCGACAGAGGGCTCTATCGACAGTAGAGGTGTTTACAGAGAAAACAACGACGTGTTCAACGACTGCGAGCGTACGGTGACGTCGACACTGGCCTACACACTGTCGGCCTGTGGCTACGATGTGTGGTTGCCCAACACCAGGGGCACTCACTATAGTCAGGGTCACGTGAGTTATAATGCAAATTTTGGTGGGTTAGAATTTTTATTAAATTATTTTTAATGTTTATTTAAAATTAAGTTCAACAAATAACTAATCAAATATTTAATTTTAAACTAATAGATGCAAGGTACTGGCAATTTACGCTGACTGAGATGGCTATTTACGATATACCCGCGGTCGTGCGACATGTTATGCAAATTACAAATTCAGGTTTTTATGTATAAAAAATTAGTTTATAAAAATTTTGACAAACTTTAGCATTACACAGTAATATAAAATAAGCATTATCATACCAGTGTGTGGTATATGATTTTTAAGATTATTTTCATGCAAACTGTAACTAGTTAATTAAATTATTATGCTGCTAAATATAATGTTTAAAAATGGCTATAATCTCGACTTTTTAAAACAAAATACAAATAGCAAAATTTTTAAATTAATTTTTAATTTTTTTAGATTCAGTTACATATATCGGGCATTCGTTAGGAACGGCACAAATGTTTGCCTTACTATCACTGGTACCCGATTTTGAGCGCTTTATTAGGCCATACATAGCGCTGGCCCCTATAGCCTACCTGGGTAACATCGAGAGCATCGGTCGATTAGGCGTACCATTGGAGCCAATATTAAAGTAGGAAGATTATTTTTATAAAATAAATTAAATTTATAAAATAATTTATTTATTACTAGGGCATTTCCGGGCCCACTGGGCATACCGGTGCCCATCGCGCAGTTAATCGGTATATTTGTTTGTGGAAATGAATTGCTGGTTGACTTGTGTGCCGATGTTTTCTACGCTATCAATGGCTATGATGCACAAAATTTTAACAGGGTAATATTGTGTTATTAGCATATTTATGAATTATTTATTTATAAATAATTAGATTAATTATTTTAATTAAATTTAGTCAATAGTACCCATAGATGCCGCCCATTCAGGCGCGTCAGTATCAACCTGGGTGTACGGTCACCTAGCTCAATTGGTGGTCAATAAATGTTTCCGGCGTTTTGACTATGGTATCCGAGAAAACATACGTAGGTATGGCCAGTCACAGCCGCCCAGTTACCCCTTATGCAACATAACCTCCAGAAATATCGCTCTGTTTCGGGGTTTAAATGATTTGTTGGCCGATACTATGGACGTGAGTCTATTGGTGCAGGATTTAACGGGTATGTCCTAGTTAAATTTGTAATTTGGTTTTATATTTAAGTTGATTATTTTTGTTACTAGTGCCTTTATTAGATAATTATATTGTCCCGGATCCAAAGTGGAATCACCAGGACTTCCAGTTGGGTGTTAATCAAGGGTTTTATGTCAACCGAAGAGTATTAGAAATATTGCGTCGATTTGATTGAGTTTTTAATTTAAATTTAATAAAGATTTTAAAGTTTAGTTAATTTATTGAAAATATGATTGTTTTTGAAATGTATATTTCATTTATGAATATTATATTTAACGACTTGTTTACCTCTATACTGTATTTTATAGTTAAACATATCCTGAATAATATAAAATTATATGCCCATAGTAACAAGTGACATTGATAAAAATTAAGATTCATTGTTTTCCCCCTGTGGTATGTTGTAAGAATTGGGTAAAAAATTTTAAAAATGAATTTGTTAATATACTAATAGTCATATATGTGGGAGAAATATAATTAACACTAATATTATACTAATATTTAGCATTGTACAATGGATAACATGTGGTTACTGTATGGCGTATTAATATTTATTGCAACTTATATTTACTTGTATGTTAAATTAAATTATACTTTTAATGATTAGGAATATATTTATTTATAATATATTATATATAAAATTTAACTCGTACAATTAAAAATACACTTTTAAAAATACTAACGTTATTAAATAATTAAATTTTATTGTCACTTATTAATTTATATTCCGATAACAGGTACATATCGCGCGGTTTTAACTACTGGAGCAAACAGGGTATACCGGGGCCCACACCACTGCCTATTGTAGGCAATTATTTTAACTCGTTTTTCATGGCACACCACAATAGGGAAGTCCATTTGCATAAGAAATACGGAAAAATCTACGGGTAAATCATATAAATTTTAATACTTTATTTATATACTGTATAGGTGCTCCTATAACTTAACACTAACCCACCCCCCCCCCCC